CCCCTCATTTAAGTTTTTTTTTTTTTTTTTTTGTACATTCACAGAATTGTGCAACCATTACCAAAATAAATTCCACAACCTCCAAAAGAAAACTCACATACCTATCAACCATCACTCCATATTTCCAGGAACCGTCCTCCAGCTCCTGGTACCCATTTATCTACTGTCTATGTTCATAAATTTACTTATTTTCAACATTTCTTATAAATAATCTCATAAATAGTTAGGCTTCTGTGACTGGCTCTTTTATTTAGCCTATCATCTTTCATTTCTTTTTAGGAATGAATAATATTCCATTGTCTCAATTTACCACATTTCATTTATCCATTCCTCAGTTTGAGAATCTGTATACTGTCTTCTACTTTGGGGTTGCTATGAATAAAGATGTTACAAATATTTGTACAAGTTTCTACATGGACATTTACCTTCAATTCTCTTGAGCATAGTTTTAAGTGCAATGGGTAACACCCTTTAAAATTCTTTTTTTTTTGATATATATTTTTATTGAACTTTTTTGCATTTCATAACACATCTTAATCACATTTATCCCCCCTCCCCTATCTGTACAACCCCCATTGCCCTCCCCACCAGATTTCATACATTCTGTTATATATGTTAAGGTCTACGGAGTCAAATTTGTTTCCCCAGATGTCCCTCAGTGTGAGTTCATCACTGGAACTTGGTCAGCCTATCTAGTCTCAGTCCCTTAAAGAAGATCAACTCTCCCCACCCAGCAGTGATCAGCTGCCAATAGTTCCTCTGCTAAGGTTGGGACCTTCTGCCCATTTTCGCAGTTCTATGCTGGGTTTTTGTCTGATTGAATTTGCATGAGTCTCGTGCATGCTGTTACCCATGTTGTAAGTTCTTGTAAGCAAGCTCCCAGAAGCCTGGAAAACTTTGTTTCCTTGTGGTCATCCACCACTCCTGAATCTTACAAGTTTATTTCAATCTATATCTGATAGCTACTTCTTTCCTTCAGTTGCTGGATTCTGGAGCAGGCAGTGAACAAAACAGAGAAGTCATCTGCCTTTGTGCTGCCTGCGCCCCGCCATACTTGTAAGTATGCTTGAGAAGAACTGCAATGACTTTATTGCCTGTCATATCCACTGTGCTAGTAATAGTTCTGCTCACTAAGTTAGTATGAAGATTAATTTGTGTCTCCACAGCCTATAAGGAAAATGGAATTATGATAGTGCCTTACAACATTTGCTTCATCTCTCACCTACTAGATTGTAGAAATGCTTATTTCTAACCCCCCCAATAGCTCTAATTTTAAAAAATATTTATTATTGTTATTTTATGTGTATGCATGTATTGCCTGCATGTATGTAAGTGCACCTGTGTCATGCAATGCCTGTGGAGGACAGAAGAGGCTGATGGATCCCCTGGAACTGGGGTAGCTAACAGTTGTTAGCTACCATGTGGGTACTGTGATTTGTCTTCTGCAAGAACACCCAGTGTTCTTAACCACTGAGCCATCTCTCCAGCCCCAATAGCTCTAATTTATTAAGGAAACTTTTTGTGTGCTGTGCATATAGCCCTCCTACCCCACGTCTGCTCCTTCCTTAATATGTTCAGTGGAGACTTCAGGGATCCGGGCTCTCACACGTCATCCAGGTGTGAACACCATTGTGACCTTCTGCCAGGGCTCCAAGGACCCTCTATGTTCTTCTCCCACTGCATTAGGCTTCCCTTCCTTCCTTTTCTCTAAGTGACAGCATTCCCTACAGCTACTTTTCCTCAGGGAAGAACACCTTCCACTTTATTTGGTTCACTCCCTGTAAACACTATGTTTTGTTACTGAATATTCACAGCCAGTCTTCATCCTCAGCATCTCATAGAGTCTTCCAGCATGGAGTTGGGTTGCTGCTTCCTTTTCTTGCTATAGGCATAAGGTTGCTGGGAATAGTTAGATCTGTGGGGCAACCAATCATCACAAGGCTATTAAAAATATTTCCTTCCTCTGACAACAGCTAATTACATAACCAGATTTATGTACCTCAAATCTTTGTCCTCGCATGGTCAATATCTCCCCTGAATGACATTCGACTACTCATGCAAACAGACCCTTGAAGAGTCCTTCTTGAAGAGTGTCCAGACACTTGCAAAAGAGTGCAATTATCAAGATCAGCCGTTGACATACATTTTGATTAGGCTGCAGTAGCATTTACTGTAAGATCTGATTTGATGGCATTTTGCTCAATGGTTCTCTCTTTATTGTGACTTTGAATTTTCAAGCTTGGAAATAGATTTAGGGACAGGCCGATAGTTCAGCTCATTTTGTGATGACCTGACAGTACTCTCAAGGTAGAGATTTAAGGTGTAACTTGTAGAAGTCGCTAAAATCCTCTGAAATTCAATCTTTTTTTTTTTTTTTTTTTTTTTTTTTTTTTTTTTTTGAGACAGGGTCTCTGTGTAGCCCTAGCTGGCCTGGAACTTGCTATGTTGACCAGACTGACCTTGACCTCATAGAGATCCTCCTGCCTCTGCCTCCCGACTGCTGGGACTACAAGCATGCACCACCACGCCTGGTTTTCAACCTCTTTTTTTTATGAGAAAAGGGTTATTTACCACTTAGAGTACTGAAAATAATAGCAAACGGTGATTGAGTACTTGTGGGTGCCAGATGTATATTCATGTGCTTTTATCTATTAGCTCAATGGATCCTCACACTAAGCATGTACACCAGCATGGTGAGAAGGGGTGTTGCATGGGGCCCAATCCATGCACATAATCATGTTCTGTCTTTGGTTGGTGCTGTGAGACTTCTGAAAATGGCCAGGTACTTTTTTATTTCTTTTTTCCTACAGCGACCTGTATGTTCTCCTATAGTGAACCGAATTCCTTGGTTAGTCAGCTCATTCTCATTGGCTTGTCTGCACGGTTTGCACACTGCTCAGAGAAATTTAACAAGAATTCAGTTTTGATTAACAAATTCTGTTATATGGTTGAAAAAAATATTAACTAATTTCTTAAGAATTATAAGCAGAGTGTTTGGGAGGATTGGGGGGGGATGACAGAATTGTGAATAATCAAAAATTTTTTCATTAAAATTCTAGTTCATTAAGTAATCACCATGGGGGTGTCTGATTGGCTGATTAGATGCAGAGGCAAATCATTTGTTGTTTTTTTAGGTAAATTTCCATCAAAGTAGTTCCACCTGGCAAATTTAAATTAATGTATTATTTTCAATTTATGTATATTTATTTCACATTGAGTTAGCCTGCAGAACAAAGGAGCCATTTTCCTTCCAGAACATTCAGGACTTTCAAGCTGGTGGCTGAAGAGTTTTTCCAGGTGGGTGAACAACACTAGTCATGTAATTATGTTCCTATAGCTGTGCCTCAAAACTTCAATCTCTCTCTCTCTCTCTCTCTCTCTCTCTCTCTCTCTCTCTCCCCTTCCCTTCTCTCCCTCCCTCCCTCCTAAGTACGCCCCCATCAACCAAAATCCTATATACTACTATTCCCAGTAGAGAACATTTTTCCGCTGTTATATCCTTTGAATTTAGTTAAAACGGCAATCAATCATACTTTGACCATATATTAGCTGAGATGTCAAGGTTGAGATGAGCTAACCATAGTGCTGAGGGGCTCCTTAGGAGGGCCTAGGTAGCAGTCTGGATGCCAGCTTCCAAAGAAGACTGGGAAACTAGATTTATTTCTTCATCTCTGGCTAGGGTTTCTTCCACAGGGCTACTGAGTCAGGACACAACTGACTTCTGAGAGGTTTAGAACCAACCCATCCCCAGGAGACCTCACCCTATCAGCCATTGGATCAAGGATGTCTTCAGAGGCACACACAAGACCCTCTCATCAAGATTCTATTTGGGGAACTGAGAAAAATCACAGTTTGGTAACATCACAAAGCCTCTGGCAACACCCCTGGGGTCCGAGCCAACCCTGGTGCAGAAACCTCGCTGCATCTCTGCTCTACTTGGACCTGGGAGAGCAGCTAATCCTACCAGACCTCCGACCTCGTGCCCATGTTTATTCTCAGATTCTGCTCAACATTCAAGTCCCTTTGACCATCTACCCTCTCCCCTACTCGCAGTCTCCAACTTTGCTCTCCTCTCCATCTCTCCTCCCTTTCCAGTTATGGCTTCTGCAACCCCCTGTTCTGCGACACAACCCTCTCCATCATCTTAATTGAAGACTGAATTCCCATGCAGAACTTTAGGTTGGAGAGAGGGGAGCTCCTTGTTTTCCCACTAAAACAGTTACACAAAATCACCATTTCTCTACATGTCAAGCCTTTGAGGCTGATGCCAACCAGCTACATGCTTCATTGGGATTTTTCCATAAACTCCTCTTTGGGCTCCTTCATTGCATTTTTTCAAGTTGTTACCTTCATATCTGACATCCTTGTGAATAATTACATACAGTTCTCTCAAATTTTCCATTTCTATCTGTTAGAGCCACCTCTCTCACAAAACCACAGGACAGTCCATTGAAATCATTCTGAAATACTCTGCAGTCTTAAGTACTAGCATCCCATACATGAACAGTTCTATCTTCCTATCTTCCCATTTCTTCTCTCTCTCTCTCTCTCTCTCTCTCTCTCTCTCTCTCTCTCTTTCTTCTTAAGTCTCACAATAGCTGGTTTTGATCTATGTAGGCTTACACTGCTTTGACTGTATCATTCTCTCCCAATTGCCAGTGTCTTCCTGAGAAGTAAAACCTCAAGCCAGACTTGCAGCTCCATAGAGTACCTGATGCAAAGGGTCCATCAGGGAGGCCCCAACAGGAGTTCAAATCAATAATGGCTCTCCGCCACTCAAACACCAGTTTGCTGAGTGAAAATCACTCCAGCATGGTTTGTGCTCTCTTGTCAGCACTGGGATCCCAGTCCTGTTGACAGTGCTGCTACAGTGGGCTGTTGCATGTAGTGCATGTGAGGCTGCCCAAGATCTACCTTAAGTCTCTCCAACTCTCTTGTAGGCAGGACATCTGTGCCTTCCTCGTTGTCATACTTTGCCCTGATTGAAAATGAACTGATTAATACTTATCTGGCAGGGGAGATGTCAAGATCACAAAGGTGGTTTTCCAGGGCAAGGCTTATCCATAGCATTACAGGTGTGCTGACCCCTGAGATTTCCCCTAATGTGGGAAACTCAACTGCATAATTTGCAGCAGTGGGGGACTGTGTTCATGCTCTCCCCTGGAAGTAAAAAGAAGGAAAGAAGAAAGAAAGAAAGAAGGAAGGAAGGGAAGGAAGGAGAAAGAAAGAGAGAGCTAAAGGAAAGAAAGAAGGAAGAAAGGAAGGGAGGGAGGGAGGGAAGGAGGGAAGGAAGGAGGGAGGGAAGGAGGGAAGAAAGAAAGAAAACCAATTGCAGCATCCACACCATTCTCAAGCACAGGTCTTAATACAAAGTGATCCTCTGACTTCTTACATACTGGCCCTTTGTCCATCATGTAGTTTCTGAAACAAAGATTCAGACTTCCCTTGCAGCTTGGATATAATGAGAGATTTTCTACCAAGGTCAAAAACCATGTGATCATTCATATTATACCCTGAAAAAGACCCAGAAAAAAAAGTGTCTTCAGAAAGTTATCCTTCTGGCTGGAGGGATGGCTCCATGGATAGTATGGATCCCCTGAACCCATGTAAAAGTCAAACAGGCATGGCAGCCACCTGTAATCCCAGCACTCAGGATACAGAGACAGGGTGGTAAGCTGCCTAGCTAGACTGGTAGGAATTGCCACAGTAAAGCAGAGAGCAATGGAGAATGACACCTGACAATTAACTTCAGGCCTCCAGACTCATGGGCAAATGTGTGCACACACACCCTCTCACACATACATGCAAAAATCACATATACACAAGCACATGAATCCCAAACAGACAGACACACACACACACACACACATTAAAAGAAAGAAATCCACAAGTCTACATTTGGGAGCTTTATCAGCTACATAAATTAATCAGATGGCAGAAAGGAAACCATGCTACATTCTAAGCTGGATCTACTTACCAAAGAGGGAATGCTTTTTCGAACACTAGCAAAAAAACAAAAGAAAAAAAAAACAAAAGAAAGAAAGAAGGAAAGAAAGAGAGAAAGAAAGAAAAAAGTAAAAGATTATATCCCTTTAAGGTAGCTTAGGCAGTCACATCCCATATAAAATATTCTTTTTGAGGAAAAGAATTATTCATATTCAGGTTTTCAACACTCAGTTTATATTTAATCTGCTTACGTGGCTATTCTAACCACTCCAAAGATTTCCTTGTCCTTTCTCCTATCTACAGGGTTCAAGTTTATCTAATATCATTGTGTTACAGGCACACAGGTACGTGTGTATGTGGAGGGGACTGATCTTCATTTCTTCCCCAAGATTCCTGATGGAAGGCTGAACTGTCTCTTGCTGCATGGCTTCTTGTTGGTAACTATTGTCTTCTGTCTTTCCTCTATCTGATGTTGTACCTGTGACTAGACCTTTTAGACCTTCACACCTACAAACTTTTTTTTTGCTTGGCCTCAAGATCCCATGCCTATTAGTCCTTATTCACACTGATCTCAACATCTTCAGTCTGTCTTCCCCTCAGCATGCTAATGCCCTCACCAGTTTCGACAAACCCTTCTGAATCTTCTCAGGGCCTGCTACATAACCCTTGCAGGGTTAAGTGCCAAGATAGAAATGCAGGCATATGTACCATAATTCTAAATAATTGGATATTATAAATTCAGCAAACTATAAATGAAATAGGTCCTATGTTTTAACCTCAACAAATGCGTACTTGTCTGTTTATGCGTGTGTGTTTGTGTGTGTGTATTTGTGTGTATGTGTGTGTGTGTGTGTGTGTGTGTGTGTGTGTGATATGCAGTGTGTGCATGAACATCTGCGTGGGCATTCAGAGGCCAGAGGGCAACATTGGATGTCTTCCTTTATTGCTTTCTACCTTATTCCCTTGACACAGGGTCTTTCGCTGAACCTGAAGCTTGCTGTTTTGACTAGACTACCTGGCTAGCAAGCTCCCAAAATCCGCATATCTTGGCTGCCCAACACTGAGGTTACACACCCAGCTTTTTTACGTGGCTGCTGAGAATTAGAACTTGAATCCTCTTGTTTGCACAGCAAGTGCTCTTACCCATTAAGCCATTTTTCTAGCCCCAAATATACAACCATAATTACTTAATTCATTTACATTTAGAATTTTTAGAATACTTACAGTTCTATACTGGAAAGTATAGACCTAGGAAAAACAAGCTTAAGTTTCTATTTTCTTCCACTAATTTCTTTCCCCAAAGACATTGGGCAAGTATTTGTGGAGAACGTAGCCTACCTATTTAAACTCCCACCTAGTTGGCCACCCCTCACACTTAGAAGTTCATACCTGGAAGGATGGATTACCATCAAGCCCCTCGACCTGAAAGAGACCCACAAAGCCTGGATTCAGGCTGGATGCAAGGCTGTTAGAACTTCCATGATCCCAATGGTCCAGCATGTGACCCAGATGGTAGGAAAGAATCTTGATGGTCTACAATTTCTAGCCTGGTAGGACAGGATCTGACCAAAGAAAAGTCTAACGTGTAGCCCTTTAACTGAAGAGGCTTAAAACAGAGACCCAAGGGAAATGCCCCATACAATAAAATCATGACAGCTGAGGTAGCAGGAGGGTGGCTCAGGCTCTGCTCTCTAATCTGACATTTCTACTCTGTGACAGCTGCCAAGGTTAAGGGGGATGCTCAAAGTTCTCAGTGGGAAATGTAATCTGTTCTCCCTTTGTGAGCAGTCTCAAGCCTCCAACAGTCTTTACCTGATCCCGTGGGGTTCAAATTTCAAGGCTGAGCTAGAGCACCAAATCCAAGCAGGCATGTCACACATTTGCTCTTTCCTCCCTCTTTCAAAGCCCTGCATTTAGCCTAGAAAGCTTCCCCAGATCAAGAAACTCTGGTGTGTTATATACCCTGCATTCTTTTCTGTTTCTCTTGGTTATCTCTTGGCATCGATGGTATTGTTTATTGAGTATGCATGCGAGTTTTATTTACATATGCATAGTTTAAAGAGCTAATCAATTTTAAACATTTGCCACACTTGCTATAATTAAAGATGCCTCGATCATGTCCTTTCATTTTCCCTTTTCCAGAGCTAATTTCATTTCAAAGCCATTTTCAGCAAATTCCCAGTCTTCCTGCCTCAACCTCCTGAGCATTGGGGTTACTGTCTTTTACTACCATACCCAGCCTAGATGGTTCTTTTGGTTTTGGTTCTGAGTTCTAGGTCTTAGATATTATTTATGATTTTTACATTTCTACTCCCACCTTCTTCAGATGCACCCTTGCTTAAGATTTATTTATTTGTGTCTGTGTATGTTTGCGTGTGTACGTGTCTGTTGGTGCATATATGTGTGCAGGTGCCTGTGGAAGCCAGAATAGGGCATCACATTCTTGGGAGCTAGAGTTAGAGGTGGTTGTGAGCTGCCGTGTGACTTCTGAGAACTGAACCCCAGACCTCATGACTGAGCAGCAAAGTTAACATCTGAGCAATCTCTTCAGCCCCAATACCTCAGTATATCTGTGTAATGGACACCCATTGACAAAAACCCCTGCCTTTATGCCCTCCCTCATCATTTCCTTCATTCAAAACTGGTCTCAGTATTTACAAGAGAGGCCATAGGGAGATTAGGAAATGAAAGCCCTTGTGCCTGGGTCAAACAGATCCTTAAATTCAAACAACTCCTCAGAAGGTGATTAAAGAAAATGCCTTACAATGAAAAGTATCCTTGCTGGGTGTGGTATCCTTGCTGGGTGTGGTGGTGCTTGCCTTTAATCCCAGCACTCGGGAGGCAGAGGCAGGCAGATCTCTGCGAGTTCAAGGCCAGCCTGGTCTACATAGTGAGTTCCAGGACAGCTGGGGCTACAGGGAGACCCTGTCTCAAAAAGACAAAAAAAAAGTATCCTATAAGAAGGAGGTCCCTAGAGGGGAATGAATGTCACTTCTAAGTCCACAGAGAGTCACTGAAATCTGGTGGAAGTTCTTTTGAGTGGCTACGTGACTTCAAAAAGACAGACATCTGAAGCCTTGAATTTACAAGAGGCGGCAAAGGTAACAGAAGATAGGGAGACTGCAGTAGCCTGGGAACTAAGGAAGCCCCAAATCCCAGGAATGACCATGGCATTTAATCTCGTCAAAACCCCAAGTCCAGTACATTTCCTTCTTGAACTGGCACTATTAGACAGCCAAAGTGGCTCTGGCAAATTTGTGAAGGAGGAAAGGAGCATGTAATAGATTCCGGGAGTGGGAGGTGCATCAAAAGCAGGAGGATAGGCTTTTGCTTTGAGTGTATTGGGAGAAGCGGCTCAGACCGAAAAGTGAATGAGGGACTATGGGAGAAATTTCATATAACCACAGGGTCAACGCTGGAGTGGGCAGCAATGTTTGTACATAGAGCAGAAGCTGCTAACAGACAGAACATTGAAAATGCTAAGAAAATTAGACACTTGGAGACTCAGGTCAAGAACAGAGTTCAAGGGGTTACATATGAAAAGCAGGACTATTGCTTCAGAGGCAAAAATTTTAAAAAAAGAAATCACACCACATGAAAGGAATTGAGAAGAAAATTAATTAATGACCAGTGTAGTTGAGGATGTTAGGAGAAATATGTTAAGGACAAAAAGAGGAGAGAGTAGAAGAGTAAACGCATAAAAATGCCTTGGATCTTCTCAGCAGTTTTCTATGGAAAGATTTATTGTCATTTATATGTGCATATGTGTATGCACAAGTGGTATGGGTGTCCACGTACACATGTGTAGAAGCCAGAAGAAGACATCAGATCTCCTGAAGCTGGAGTTACAAGTGGTTGGTGTCACCTGATATGGGTGCTGGGAACTGAACTCTGGTCCTCTACAAGAGCAGCAAACTCTTAATCACCGAGTCATCTCTCCAGGCCCCCATCTCATCAGTGTTCATAGTTTAAAGTCAGGGACATTGCCACTCACCAAAAGTAAGTAGGTGAAGGGGATTGGAGAACTTTTTTAAAGTTATAGAAAAATACACAGGAAGTCAATAAGACAAGTTTTGTGTGGCGTAAAAGCAATTCCTTGTGTGGGGGGTTGGGGGTGGGGGTGGTGATGGCACATGCCTTTAATCCCAGTACTTGGGAGGCAGAAACAGGTGGATCTCTATGAGTTCCAGGCCAGTCAGAGGTACATGAGACCTTTT